ACATTTATCGTGATTCTGGCTGGTAGCCATTTCTCATCATGTCGCGCACTTCAGCAGGTTTTGCAGACTTCTTTCCCACCGCTCCGTCAGTTCTACAGCAGAAACGCAAAGCCACCAAGGACAAGACCCACAACAAGGTTCATTCAAATGAAGATATCGACCACGAAAGACTCGCATATTCGACAGAGGCTCAGAATATCTCTGATTCGGGTTTGAGCACGGCAAGCGCAGGCTCAGGGAATGATCTACCCAAGAAAACGAAGATTGCGATTCCCGACACGGCTGCAGATGGATCCTCAAGTGCGACAAGCAAGAGTCTTACCACGCCTCACGCTTCCACAGTACCTTCCGGCGGAACAACTGGCAGCGAAGGACGCTTGGAAACGCTTACGCCGCTTATCAATGCAGAGCCCTCACCCACCCAGAAGGCCAGCCCTGGTCGAGACAGGGCAACGGCAACGGCTGATGTTCTTTCCAGAAATCCTAGGACCGCTGAACCAAAGCCAGCCATCGCCTTGCTACAAACTCCACCAACACCGGAGTCACAGGGGCGACCGACCGGAACTTTTAGAGGCTGGAAAATAGTCTTAGATCCCGAGAACGACAAGCGGACATCAAAAGACAAACGCAAAAAGGCGCGCTATGTGGAGATCATGTCTAACGGACAGGATGATAGACCGCCGGATCCTCGACTGGTCATAGTAAATTATGCACGTGGAGCCGGCTGCAAGCAGAAAACGAAATTTCGTCCAGCCCCATATACGTTGCGACAATGGGTGTACGATGCTTCTACAACAATCGGGCCTGGGCCTCCGGTCCAGATAGTGGTCACTGGGTTTGACCCTTTGACCCCAATCGCGCCAATTAATGCTCTATTTTCCAGCTTCGGAGACGTCGCGGAGATAAATAATCGTACTGATCCAATCACCGGCAGATTTCTCGGAATTTGCTCCGTCAAGTATAAAGACAGTGTCTCATTTCGAGGAGGCGGCCCACTACTCGCAATGAATGCCGCAAGACGAGCGTACTGCGAGTGCAAGAAGGAACAGCGTATCGGAACCCGGAGAATTCGAGTTGAATTAGACCGGGACGGCGTTGTCTCGGAGAAGATAGTGTCAAGAGCGATTGACTCCCAGAGGATGGGATACAAGAACTGTCTTTCCGTTGCAGAAGATACAAAGGCCGGCCCCTCCGTCAATCACAATGAGCCCCCCCCGACAGCGCCAAAAGGCCCATCGGGAAGGTCTTTGACACGGGTGATGGCCGTGATCCCTGAAGGACCAAGGGCTAGCTTCTTCAAGTCAGTTGTGCCGTCGTTGGTCGAGGAAATCCCCATTCTGAGTCAGATCAAGCGAGACCCATATATCTTCATTGCGCATTGCTATGTTCCGGTCCTTAGTACAACGGTTCCTCACCTGAAAAAAAGGTTGAAAGTATTCGATTGGAAAGATATTCGATGTGATAAGACAGGGTATTACATCATTTTCGAGAATTCCAGGAGAGGCGAAGAAGAAACAGAACGTTGCTACAAGATGTGCCACATGAAACCGTTGTTTACTTACATCATGAATATGGAGAGTCAACCCTATGGAAACCCAGGCTATGAGCGCAGCCCCAGTCCACAACGATTGCAGGCAGAACAACGAGAACGAGCCAGATTGGACAGAGTCAAGAGAGAAGCTGAATTGGACATCGAGGAAGAGAAAAACCAAAGAGCAAACGATTTGGACCCCTGCAAGGAAGTGGTAGCCATCATAGTTCGGGACCTGAAGGACAAATTGCTCGAAGACGTGAAGTCTCGGATTGCTGCACCAACTTTGTATGACTACCTTGACCCAGATCGACATGCAGCAAAGAGAAGACAACTGGGAATTCGTGATCCGGAAGGGGCAAAGAGACCTCTGTTTCAAATTGGCATAAATAGCCCGGCTGGAACACCAGATTCACGTTCAGACCTGTCCACAGCCCGTCACCCATTCGGACCCTCAAATTTGAGTATCCTTGCGCTTCCCCGTATAAGGAAAGCTCACCGCCTCAACCACACAGACGCTGCTTTCTTGGACGAGAGGCGTAAACAGCCTTTGCGGAGGAAAGAGGTTCGACCTCTTTATCACCGTCTACAACAATTACACCACGTGGATGATTCAGATGATGAGCAGAGGACGCCGTTCACGAGAGACACCGATGATCCGGACAGTCGTGCTCCAAGTCGGTTGAGCTCAGAGTGTTCGGATTCAGAGGATGTTGATGAATCTGCTCCGGAGGCCTACGGCGTATTCGCCGAGCACAAAGTCGGCAATGACGAACATCTGTACGGTTCACCTCGAAAAGAAAATGCCGATATCTTGGTTGAATCGGTCAATGATGCCTCGAACGATGCTTCGTACCCTGAACAGCACAAACTCTCCCCAGCATCTCGCAAGCGAAAAAGAGAAAACGACAAGGTCATTGCGCGAAAGAGAAAGAAAGATGATGACCTCTTTGGAGTCGATCAAGCCGCAGGTCTCAGTGAGGGACAATTGCACATGGACCACATCGACTCGGAGGTCGTTGAGAAGCATGTTGCGGATGAGAACTCCCCTCTCGCCAGTGACAAAGATTCAAATAGTGGGCACATTAGCGAAATCTCGAAGCGGGCAGTCGATTCTGCGAAGCTTTTGCGATCTCGACTGGCTGTTGAGGCTGAAATTCAGGAGGATGATCATGCTTGTGTCTTCACTCCCATTGCCCTAGATGACACCGAAGGTCAGAAAGAAGTGCCAAGGACTGAGATAGGATGGAAGGTTTCCAATGACGAGCCCCGCCCAACGGTCGAGGATGACGAAGCTATTGTGCTAGATCTCGATGGGTGGCAGAATCTGATTAAGGATAGGGAGGACTTACATTTTCTCCGTGATGTGCTGGAATGTTTACCAATATCTAACGTTGGAAGTCTCTCTGCTTGGGCATGGAGACAAAAAGAAATCAAAGCCCTGAATCGCCCAGGAGAGGTAGGACCTGTGCGCGAAGCAACCAGTATCCTTGGCTACTATGTCTCAAACATCACGGGAGCTGCAAGAACCGAGGGAAGGAAGAGGATTCTGGAGTCGGAAAAGTCGAAATATTTACCGCACCGCATCAAGGTTCAACGGGCCCGCGAAGAGCGAGAGGCAAAAGCGAAAAATGACCCTCATAGTGTTGCTGTCGAAGCTGCGAGAATCGCCGCAGCCAAGACAATGTCTAAATCCACATCCAGATCAACAAGAGTCAACAATCGCCGACTCATCGCAGATATCAACGCACAAAAACAAGCCCTCCCAACTCAAAGCGGCGACGGTGATGTTCTTCGTTTCAATCAGCTGAAGAAGCGAAAGAAACCTGTTCGTTTCGCTCGATCTGCAATCCATAATTGGGGACTATATGCAGAAGAGAACATTTCGGCTAATGATATGATCATCGAATACGTGGGTGAGAAGGTCCGCCAGCAGGTTGCTGACATGAGAGAGAGACGATATTTGAAGAGTGGCATCGGCAGCAGTTATCTATTCCGTATCGACGAGAACACAGTCATCGACGCGACGAAGCGAGGAGGCATTGCGAGATTTATTAACCACAGCTGTACACCCAATTGTACTGCCAAGATCATCAAAGTGGATGGAAGTAAAAGGATTGTTATATATGCCTTGAGGGACATCGAAAGAGGTATGCTTTGTACCATCATTCCCCAATTTTCTTGACATGCTGACACTTTGATTATAGATGAAGAGCTTACATATGACTACAAGTTTGAAAGGGAGTGGGACAGCGATGACAGGATCCCCTGTCTTTGCGGTTCCAGTGGTTGCAAAGGTTTTCTCAACTAAGAGCAGGCTCGATCAAAGCTAAAACCCCTGTATGCGAGCTATTCTCACAGTTGAAATTTGTGGTCAACCACACATCCAAGCTGCCGTGTAGCGGCGTTTCATATAGACAATAAAGTAGCTTTAACATGATGGGGTCGAACAATCTGGTACATTGCGAAGGCCGAGAGCTCTTATCGAGTGTGTAGTGCCGTGTCCATTATAATGGCGTCTGTGCTCAACTTGTAGTCAAGGTCCTTTTCAATCCCATCAGCTGTGAAGCAGATGCCATCCCTGATAGCATACGTTAACAACCATAATCCATGCATGGCTATTGGAGAACGGGCTAGGACGGGTTTTTTCTTCATTGAGCAGCAGGGAACGTGCTCAGTCAGATACGGACGGGGTATCAAACATCAGTTTGATCATAGCACCAGCGCATGAAGCATCCTGGGAGGAAAATTACACTATAGCAGAAAGCTTGTCAGCATAGACTCGGGATTCCACGAGGGAGTTTCTTTGTCTTACCCAGATGGCTGGGCAAAAGGAAATTAGCGATTCCTTCCTTGATCATATACTCATGACCGCAGTTGCCACAGCATAGTCTTCCTTCCACAACATGCGTCTCTAATAGCAGTCTGTGAAGATCTCTCATTGTCTGCTCATCATTGAGTGCATCGCCTTCAGGCTTCAAATCAGGGATCTTAGGGAAGCCCAGCTAAGCCAATTGAATGAGTGGCCTGAATAACCTTTTCTTAGGGAAAATACCTGCACACATACCTCATTGGCCATTACGCGCAGACCCTCCCAGTCAATTCGTGGGATAATATTGTGTATGAATTCCGGCTGAAAGTCGATCTCTTGCAGTTCGAGTTCAGCATCCTTAAAATGTAGTGGGTAGGACGACGCGGCTGCTTTGCAGCCTTTGACAGCACAGGTCAGAAAATTAGCAGTAAGTAACTTCATTGCTGTTGAGTACTGGTTGAGCGACTCCTCGATACTATTGTATAGCTGGGATTGACTTGCAGTGGCGCTTAGCTGTTGGTTGGGTGAGCGGAAAAACCGGGACGGGCTGTTTCCAGGTTACGTTATCAGTTTCCTATGTAATAGGTTACCGTATGTTCTATATACTGTAAATGTAGGTGAAAATTGCTTCTCCCATGAGTTCCCGGGCTTGTGCCTCAACAGTATACACGAATTGCTGGACCATCTCTCTCGCCCAAAGCTACCCGAGGAGACCTGATGAAATACAGGAGAAGAGAATTCTTCCACCATTTTAACTACGTGCTTCTCCGATTTCTCCGAACTTGAGTATGCTCATCGCGTGCTATACATATTGCCGTTACATGGAACGTGCAAACGTCATAAGAGTAATAAGTTTGTGATCACCGAAAATTGTCACTTGACTATTACATCCAGGAGATCATCATTTGCAAGATCATAGTCTTCAAGAGCATGTCCGAGGTCTAAGCGTTCACCATCAAATACAAGGTAAACCTCATGCTCCAGTGAGATCTGTCTCGCATCGCGAAATAGGCGGATCAGCCGTGAGACCTGCATTTGGAGACTCACTCTCAATCTAAGATCAGCTAGCCCCGGGGCCTTCAAAACGATATCTTTTGAACATCGCTCGCCGCTGTCGAAGTCTATGCCTGGCGCTGGCGCTGGCGCTGGCTTGGCGGAAGACAATGACTGACTACTGTCAAGATCAAGAGGATTTTCAGTAGCGGCTTCCATGTGAATTTGCAGGTCCGAACTGTCACTTCGTAGAGAATCACAGGCAACAGACCCAAGCGCACGGCGACCCTTGGGTCCCATTCCCAGACTGCGACATGTGGTGACATCGAAAAGCCGTTTCCCTTTCCAAGTCAGGAAGATAGAAGACTCGAGTCCCTTCGGTAGGTCTTGACGTTTCAACCATGCAAGGCGCACATCTTTCAGCGGCTGATGCATTTTTCGGCGAACTATGAGCGGCTTGGTGTTACTGATTTTCGAGGTGATAAGGATCTGGACTATCGTATCTTCGGATGGTGTAAGCTTCTTGCTGAGAGTCAAGTGGGGTTTAGTAGGGCTCAGCCTATTCGAGAATTGAGAGTCATCAATGCAAATTCTCTTGCCTCCACTAAGGTTCTTTACAGCCGATGTGCCAGTAGTTACAATCTCGTTCCGAGATATTGACGCCAACCCAGGCATCAAGTGGTCAATACCATTGGGATCTGTCACTCCTGGTCCGTGCGGTAAAGCATCTGGAGCTTGGCTGTCTAGCTGATCTTCACTTCGTTGTACAGATCTGCGATTGGAAGCGTTGCCCTCGGACGGCGATTGATGACTGAGAGATTCGTCAGAGGGTTTGCAGGTCCCCAGCGGTAATGTGTCACCACCATGATTCTCAATGGGTGCACGTCGCCGTTTGGTTTCGGTTTCTTGGATTTGGTTGGCACGTCGCGCATCCTGATTCGCGGAAACTATGTCATTGTACACTAGACTAGCATGTTGGTAAAACTTGAGATCTTGAGTTTCGTCTCCCCTGCTTGCCCAAGATGGCTTGTTGAAGAAGGATCGCATCGATAGGGCTCTGAATTGGCGACCGTAAATTCTGGACTTGTAACGAATGTAGATTCTGGGTAACTGGGCAGAGGGCCCAGAGTAGAAGTAGACACGATGGTCTTTAGAAGAAGAGCGGTGATATCCTAAAGGGCGACTTTTCGTTATTCTGTTGTGGTAGGTGGTGGATTACAATCAGCCGTTGACTAGAAAACACGTGCCTTGACTTGGAGACTACTTACTGGCTTCCGGGGGCTAGATGTTCCCTGACAAATCGAGAACAACTTCCGCCAGCGGGGCCAATTCCCAGACTTCTGAAAGTTGCTTATTCCAGGATCACCAACTTGTCTATAACCATTCCTGTCAAGATGGAGAATGGTGCACCTTCTGAAGGGAAAGATCCCTCGGCTTTCCTTGGCGAAATAATAGGTGCTCCAGTGACCATTAAATTGAACTCTGGTGTTGTCTATAAAGGTACCTACCCGAGCTACTTTGTTCGCCTACCTACTCATATCCCAAGTGGAATCCCGGCTTGCGAGGATGGGTGTAGCAACGATTGAACAACCTACAGGAGTTCATCAAATTTACATTTGGGAGCTGACATAAAATTTCCTAGGTGAACTGCAGTCTGTAGATGGCTACATGAACATAGCTTTGGAGAAATCTGAAGAGTTTGTGAATGGTCGATTAACACGAAGCTATGGTGATGCTTTCATCCGCGGCAATAATGGTTCGTTTGAATCATATCCATGAGCCAGTTGTTATATATGCTTATCCTGATCCACATGGAGTAGTGCTGTACATATCCGCAGATTGACGAATTAAGCCTTTATCACCTCGATTCTCCGAAGGAGATTTGCAGGTCCTTTTCCAATCCAAGGAGTTTTGAGTGACCATCGCCTTACTCGACCCTCGAGGTAGGGGGAAGCATGAAGAAAAGCATTGCCTGGGTAATGAATTGAAGGCTGGAGAATTGGGTTCGGGCTTTAAGGCCAGTGCAACTTCTGTACGGACTGGGTAAATCCTACACCTCTCCTTAATACAGTGCCCGATGGAGATTAGCGAATCAAGTTCAATAGGTTCAGAGACTTAGGTCGAAGACAAAAAATTATCAACTAGAACGGCCTCTGGTGCACCTCTTCATTACATAAAAGAGTCACTAGGAGTAGGTGGAGACGTGGTAGGAGCTAAATTACTCATTCTTCTTGGAATTATTATAACATGTAAACAACTTCTATGGAAAGACAAATGAAGGGTAATGTGCTGCCAGGTAACTTAATAGTGCTGCTACCTGGGCCAGGTATTGATTGAGTAGTACCAGGTACAGCCTGTGCTCGGCTCAGCTTAGATTTCTGTTTGCCACATGCGCCGCCCCACCAATGAGAGCGCATGTAGCCACACCCCAAACAAATGAGAAGGATTTCGGTTAAATATCAGAGCAATACAGTTCAGTCAACAACGTCTTATCCTTTCTTTGTCTCCATTGGTAGCGTTTCTAGCACTTCGAAATACCAAGAGTGTCCATTGATCCTTTTCTGAGGTTGATATCGCAATCATGACTTTGCAAGCGATCAAATATCGAGACGGTGTCCTCGCAATTATCGACCAATTGCAACTTCCCTACGTGGAGGAATATATTGAAATCAAGACGAGTGAGCAGGCTTGGCATGCTATCAAGGCTATGCAAGTCCGGGGTGCGCCAGCTATCGCTATAGTAGCAGCACTTGCCCTTGCGTCTGAGCTTCACCGACTGATTTCAAATGAGGGGCTTTCTTCCGATGCAGACGAAGTTCGTGTTTTCATTCTAGAGAAGCTGCAATACCTGGTGAGCAGCAGGCCTACGGCTGTCAATCTAGGTGATGCTGCGCGAAAGCTTGAGGTCGTGGTGTCTCAGAGTGCTAGCCAGCCTGGGGCGACAGGTCACGGGGTCGCCGTCTCCTTTATAAAAGCCTCGGAGGGGATGTTGGTAAAGGATGTTGAAGACAACAAGCAGATTGGGGAAAATGGCGCCAAATGGATCATGTCGAATGCGGTGGTTGCGGGGCAGTCAGGAGCCACTGTTTTGACTCATTGCAATACAGGGTGAGTCTACCGTCGATGAGAATTGGGATATGAAGTTCTAACGTTCATCCAGGTCTCTAGCGACATCCGGTTACGGAACAGCTCTGGGAGTTATCCGCAGCTTGGGATCAATGAATAGTTTGCGGCATGCGTACTGTACTGAAACAAGACCTTACAACCAAGGTTCACGGCTCACGGCATTCGAACTGGTCCATGATGGTATTCCCTCCACTTTAATAACAGACTCTATGTCCGCCGCACTACTTGCAGATTCCAGGGCTGGGGTGAATGCAATCGTTGTCGGTGCAGATAGAGTCGCAGCCAATGGTGATACTGCCAACAAAATAGGGACGTATGGGCTTGCTGTCCTGGCAAAATATCACGGTGTGAAGTTTCTCGTTGCTGCGCCGCTCACCACAATTGATTTGTCGACCAACTCTGGAAATGACATTGTGATAGAGGAACGACCGAGTGATGAGGTTACTAAAATCAAGGGGCCCTGCCAAGGCGATACATCTAAGGGCGGAAACCTGAAGACTGTGCGTATAGCTGCAGAGGGAATCAACGTTTGGAATCCAGCGTTTGATATCACACCAGCTACACTGATTGATGGGATTATAACAGAGAAGGGGGTCATGGAAAAGACAGCAGACGGTCAATTTCATTTGGCGGGTTTGTTTGAGGACTGATTGCCAACTGCCGGCTGTGGATGCGTGTCCATCTGGCTAATGTCAGTGTCGCTGTAGGACATGGCCTTGCCAGTATCGCATTGGCGAAAAAGCTCATCAATCCTAGTTTCGAGTTTACCCAGGTGCTTCTCCAGGGCCAGCGCTGCTTCCTCGCCTCTGGTTGAATAACGATTAGTTAGGTGTCCGTAGGACTGCTTGATGTGTACGATGCTCGCACTTAGCTATTTCTTTGAAGGCCTGTTGGTTATCATTAGCCGCTGGGGTTGCTTTGGGGGAATCTTGATTTGATGCTGAACTGGGGAATGTGACGAAAGGTTTACAAACTTACCATAGTGAATTCATTGGAGACATTTTGATCTTCCAGCGAGGGCATCTTGGAAATCTGTATCTGGGATATTAAGAAAAAAAAAAAAAAAAAAAAAATTGTGTGGAGGTGATCGTATGACAGGAACCTATTTAGTACAGTCACTGGAAAGGTGATTATTGTCCCCCACAGTCTTATATAGTTCATCCAATGGGATTCTACCGCCCCTGTTAAATTTGTTTGGTCATAAGTGACTGTAGCCTCACAATATAACAAATTAATTGAGACATCCCCTTTTGTTCTTTATATCAAGATATTTGTTATATCAATTAGGAGTAAAATGCGTTTCACGTGATTTTAGCTGATGTTAGGAAGAATGCTGATTAAGCAGAAATTATTTAAATTCTTTCAATTTCTTTATTATTCCCTATTATTCAAGGAATTCCGCCCATTTCATACAGCAAAGACTATCTGTAGAAGAAACCACTATTGTACAAATTTTGTTAAAGGCAATTATTACCCGCCGGATAGCATACTGCTGTACTGTTGGTCCCTGCGGCCCACTGTACTGCTATAAATAAAACATGCATATAATGGATTTCAAAAATATTTAATTTAGAAAATCATTGTAATTTATATACTTATATATCTTGCCTACATAATTCTTCAATAGTATTTTTTTATTTTATGTATTATTTTTTATTCTTTATTTTTGACCTTTATTTATTCTATTTTATTAATTACTTTATAGTTATATTAGAAGCTATATTTCTAGCTAATGTAAAGACTGCTTAGGTGTGACGATCAAAGTATCAATTTATTGAGGATGACGAAGTTGTTGTTATTAGGTACTAGCTAAGTGTTATAGCTATATACAGTAATTGTAAGGCGGTATACTAGGCAGTATAATACTGCTATTAATACTGCTATTTCTATAGACTGTAATAGTACTGCCCCTAAAAAACTATTTATTTTTAATAGTCTTTTTAAAAAATTTTAAATTTTTTTTAATTTATTTCTTATAATTGCAGCTTTATATTTAGTAATCTTATTTACAGCAACTATCTATAAAAAAACAGATAGATTACATAACCCTATTTTAATTTATAATCTAATTATTAAATTAATTTAATATAGTATTATACTGAGTAATACAAGCTGCTTTAATAGTCTTATAATTTTTATTTACTATTAGTATATAAATAGTATTAAATTTAGTAGATCATTTATTGTAGTCTGCTGCTATATACTTATAATCAGCTGTAATATAATTATAAATAAAAATAATTTATCTTATTTTAAGAGTTAATATTTGTAAGGGCCTTGCAAGCCCTTCCAATCTTTGTAATTAATATTGCAAAGGAATGTATATAAAAAAGGCCTAAGGCATCAGCCATGTAACAGCTAAGTAAGATGGTTGCAGAACTATTTAAAATAGTAGTAGTTTTATAAAATTAAATAAATTAATGATAATATTTAAAAATATAATACTACTACTTTAGCTATTATAAGAAAGTATTTATTTACTATATTATTTTACTTTTAGTTTCTATAATTTTATTATTTATATCCTACAAAATAATCCAGTAGATAGTAGCAGAATATAAAATATAAAACTAAACTAAAAGTAACTTCTTAGATCTGATTATAAAAAACTAAATATTAACTGTAGAGGAAGACTTTTATATAAAAAAAGTCAGATCTCTATTTAAAAACTTTATAAATATTTATATTTACTAAAAATAAATTGTAAAAATTTAAAGTACTTTTAACATTAGCTTTATAAAAAAGTAATTATAAGTTGTTACCGACAGTATAGTGATAGTACGGCAGATTGCTACTGCATATCTTACCGCCCTCTGGGACTATTTATATATAGTATAGTATAAAAAATAATATAATAATAATTATTGTTATTAATATTTTAAGTACTGTTATAATAGTAGTATATTTTTAACAAACTAAAAGTCTGCTTTTTAAAGCTAACTGATTATTTTAATTTAATACGAAGTCTATTAATTTATATTATATTACTATTTTAAACTGCTTTATTCTATTAATTTTTATATTAACTCTTCTAGTGTACTATGACTATTTAAGTATATTGGTTTTTTATTTTTTATCTGTATATGCCTCATATTTGTCATGGGTAATCCCCAAGAA